GTCGCACAAACACGTTTTCACGATTCGCGCTTCGGATTTAATGGGCTTTTTCCTCGAAGTGTCAGAACAGCAAGAAAGATCGGTGCATCGCAAGGAGCGACGACGATGGAAAGCCGCCCCGGCATTTAGCGCTCGTAGTTGCGACTTGTCTAGTCGATGACTCGAGCATCTCAACAGCAATCCAGACGATCATCAACACAGCAAGACGTATGAAAGTGTTGGGCAACGAGTATCGCTCAAACAGCCAAGCATTCGCCACATGCACGTCGGTCAACCCGGAAAAACTTTCGATGGAAAAGCCACGCCGATCTGCTCCGAGGCTGCGGGTGAATTCGTTTTGAACCGCAACTTAACATTTCTGCGCTTTTTCGCATCGGACTTTCGAACGCCTCTACAGCCGGCGAGCGCGCAACAAGAGCATCCGGCACCGGCTGCAATGTCAAAGCCGTGCACCGGTCCCCAGCAGCGACGACGTCAGCGACGCTTCCATCGCGACGTCTCGCTTGCGAGCCAAAGAGGCTCATTGGGCATGTGACTATGCGGTTCCGGTCAAAAGTAGCCACCGATGTGAGAGAGGGAGGGCAAGGTGAGCGAGGCGCATTTTTTGAGTATCAGTGTAAGAGTTTTCGTGTCAAACAATTGTGGAAATTCCTTCACTCGTCCGACTCTTCACCATCTCGATTTGTGAAGCGAGGAAAGGCTTCCTCTTCCTTCCTCTCGCTGCTTTGCGAAGAGCAGTCCAATGCACCAACAACCACAGGCGACTAGACTAAGAGCAGAGACGAGATCAGGTGATCACTCGATCAAGCATCACACATGCCAGCCAGCCAGCCAGCCAATCAGGAGCGAGCTACATGCACCAGCACAAAAGCAGCAAGCCACTTGAATCAAACTTATCTGATTAGGCTTTGCGAGATCGAGGGTGCGCTCTGACTCACCTTCCGAGCCTTTACGGCGAGTTACAGCGAGTGACTGACTGCGGAATTGCTTGCCGGCATGCCAAGAGAGGCAGCACGGCCAACGTACAAGTTGAAAAGTGGGGGCATCGCCGACCAATCACAAGTCGATCCGCGCTCGACAAGCACGACAGAAGAAGCGCTCGATTCGATTGCACTTGCGAGCCAAATACAGTAATCTGATAACGAAAAAAAAGCATACGAAATCCTGTCAAAGCCTCGCTGTCTTGGCCGGCTTAGGCGTCAGACCAGTCTGCCACAGTCATAGCGCAAGGCTCAGTCGATCTCGCCCCTTGGCCCCCTCCCACCATCGTCCATCTCACTCTTCTGACCATCAAACAACATCACCGCTGCTATCGTCACCAGCATCAATCCACCACACACACGAAACATCCTCCTCCAACAATCGCTTTTCTTCTAGCGCGCAGCGCTCGCCTGCCATCCTGACCGCAATCATGTCGTCGCCAGCCATGGCGTCCATCCTCCCATCTTCCATGGCAGCACCACGGAACCTTGCTCAGCGACCTTTGCCATCCTCTTCCATCGTTGCCCCACCAAAACCTTCATCGTCACGACTTGCACCAACCCCTTCTTCCGCTCTAGCTCCAGCACCACCTCGTCTCGCTTCACAGTCCCCTCCCAAGCCCAACCCATCCTCGCTGGCTCCAACACTCTCCTCCTCTGCCGCACCAACCAAGAAAGATGCCAGCGCACGTCCGCTCGTCCAGCCTTCCAAGGAGTGGGTGCTTCCTGCCCGCGCCAAACCCGGTCGCAAGCCTTCTGAGTCCGAACCGCTCACCAAGCGCAAAGCACAAAACCGCGCTTCCCAGCGTGCATTCCGCGAACGCAAGCAGTCCTACCTCTCAGACCTCGAGGCCAAGGTCGCCGCCTACGAAGCCGCAGAGATCGATCGCAGCGTCGAAATCCAAAAGGTCGCTCAAAAGCTGCGCTCCGAAAACGAATCCCTGCGCAAAGAGCTCTCGCTCTGGAAGCAAAAGTTTGCCCACATCGAGCGATACCTTCTTCAAGCAAAGGCCAACGGTGGGCGACTGCCTGGCATCACGCCCAGCACCAAGTCGGGGCCCGGGTGCAAGGCGCCAGCGCACGAGAGATCTACGCCCAAAAGAGGTGTTCTCCTTACTCCAGGTGCCAAGAGCGAACGCGATAGGGACAGGAGTGCCGCCAGCGTCCGATTTGCCGACACCACATCAGCCGATACAGCAACCGCAGCACAAACTAGCCCTGCTCCCTCGGTGCCTCTTCGACGCCGTACTCCTGCTGCTCGGACCGATGCTGCTGATGCAAAGCCTACCACCACTGCACAAGCCCAGCCAATCGCTGATCCGCAGCCAACTAGCCCTCGCAAAGCCAACAAGCCGCTGCTCTGGTCCGCCCAACCAAACGAGCCGCCTTCGCCTTTCGCCCCTTCCGCTGCCGCCGGTGCGCAAAAGACAGACTCGCTCCTGTCTCCGTCCCTGCTGCCCCACGGCGGACATCTCTCTGTCGACGGCGGCTGTGGCTTCTGCACCGAAGCCTCCCCCTGCGTCTGCGCCGACGACTTTCTCGATCTCGACAAGCACACGCAGCCCTCCCACCTTGCCGTTCCCAGCGACGTACCCTCTGCACTTCCGCTGCCCAAATGCAACTTCGCTTCGACTGCATCAGAAACGTCGAGGAGGATGAGCATCGGCTCCCTCACCCATGCCAACGACGTGCCTCTCGACCAGCGCCGGAGGACTGCGACTGGCGCCAATGCCAACAAGCTCTGGTACACTGTTCCAAGGCCCGAATCGCCACCCGAGTCTTCTCTCGCCAACAGCTCGGCAACAGCTGCCGTGCCCCTATCGTTCAAGCTTTCGTCCAAGAGCAAGACGGGCAAGAAGCTGTGGTCTGTCACCGAGTCGCCTGCGCCCGCTGAACCAGTGTGCACGGGCGACCCGAGCACGTGCGGCGCTTGCTCCACCGACCCTGGTCTCGCCGCATTCTGCGAAACTGTCACCACCGCCGCCACAGGTCCCTCTGCCTCCTCTGCAGCCACTTCGTCATCCACCGCTGCTGCCTCATCTCTCTTGTCTCCGCTGCGTCCGGCCATGCTGCGCTCAAGCACCACTGGTCAGCTCCCCTCCGCTTCCTCGTACGATTCACGCGGCGAGACCATCCCATCCGCATGGCGTCAGATCCGCTCCCACCCGCGCTTCTCCCAGTGGCAAGGCGGGCTCGACCTGCTCGCCGAAGTCGTCAGCAAGCGCAGTGGCAACGTCCACTCTCCCCTCCTCTCCACCAAGCGTCCTAGAGAAGTATCCGTCGAGATCGAACCTGCTCGCTCCAGCATCGCCTCGACCTCGCTGGCTACGAGTAACGACCGCGCCACCGCGAAACCGGTGCTGCTGCACACTACCTCGGACACCACTGTGCATGTCAAGAGGGAAGACGATGCGGACGATGCACATGCCGCGAGGGAACACAAGAGGAGGAGGATCTTGATTGATCGAGAGGCGGTGCAGGAGGCGCTGGCGCTCTTGGATGCGGGTACGGCAGCGCAGCCGAGGGGAAGTGTTGAGCTCGGTTTGAGCGCGAGGGAGGAACAGCCGTGTCCGTGTCCTTGGCGACCGGGCGACAAGCGATCGCCGTGAGCTGGAGCTGGAGACCGCGCATTGCAAGTGAATCTCAAGTATAGCACGTCGTCACTCTCAGCATTGGCAATGAACGATGGTACCTAAACGAGTGTGTCTGAGACGCGATGTACAGCAGCACTTGACAGAAGCCGCAACTGGCATCGCTCAGCCTGAGCCAGAAGGCGCTTTCGACGAGGAGAATAGTCTTGTCAAAAACCTGGGAAGCTGCCATCCGTTCGACCCATTCACCGTCTCCCTCCTGATCTGCGCCGGATACTCTTCGCTTCGCATGGGACTGCTGGGCGGACTCGCGCCCGGAGGTCTCCTCCAGTAGTCTGCGCTGGTCCTCGAACTGCCGACCAGCGGCGTGCTCAGCGACTCCCAGCTGCCAACAAACCGTGCGCTGCTCCTGCCCGCCCCCGGCTTCCTCCACTCCGCACCACCACTCTCCGCCTCGCTAAGCACGTTCTTCGCGCGTCTGGGCGGTGAGGACACGCCACTGTCCAGCAGCGGGCGCTTGAGCCGCGACTCGGCCTGCAGCCTAGCCGCCTTGGTCATCGACACGATTACGTCTTCGTCCGGGATGACGAACGCGCCGCTGTGTGTCGTCGAGTGGGCAGACGAGGAGGCCAAGGTGCGCATCCAGCGGTCCGACGCCTTGGTGCGCAGCAGCCGCGCGCGCCAATTGCGCCACATGTTGCTAAGCCCGGTCCCGAAGCCTTGCTCGTGGATGGGCACCGGGCGCGATGCCCGTGCGGCCTCTTCGAGCATCGTCTCGTACAACGTCGCCGGTGCAGCGGCGCACAGCGGCAGCACGCCGAGAAAAAGCACAAGCAAGCCGAGACAGGTGCGCATGCTGCTAGACATGTGTGCGCCTGGCACGATCAGTGATGCAGACCGAGAAACAGTGGTGCGCGAGACGAAAGCGATGGCTTTATATCCTTATTGTCGCCGAGTGGGACGACAAGGCAGAGGTCGCAAGTGGATCCGGACAGCGAGACAGAGTGTGGGACCCTTCATCTCGAGCCGAAAGCACCAGAAAAAAGCCACCAGGCTCTCATGCTGGTTCTGGCGGTGAACGAGCCCTTTCTCAAGCCCGTGCCGTCTCGAGCGCCGAGCAGCATCACTGAACCAGCAGAGCACGCCATGTCAGCCGATGCCCTCTCTCTCGCTGGCACCCTCTTTGTCGACGCGAGATGAGAACGGAAGCAGAATTGATAAAGCTCTACAACTTCGATGCTAGGTGCCACCAGTGTTCAGCAGACCTTTACGCCGTCGAGCGGTGGGCGAGTGGGCGAGTGGGCGAGTCGTCATGAAGCGCACCCACCGATGGAATTGCTTGGTGACGGTGCTCGGGTTGCTGACACACAACACTGTGAAAATTTGCAATTGTCTATATATGCAACAGTGTCATATACAAATATCGATTGGCCGGTTGGCCCAATGGTAAGGCGTCTGACTACGAAGTTATCCTGTTTCACAGGAGCGCATTGGTTAATCAGGAGATTCTGGGTTCGAGCCCCAGGCTGGTCATTCTTTTTCAGGTTTTCCACCTTCATTCTTTGTCGCAATTTTCTAACTCTTTTTTTACGTGCTGTTCCTTTTTCCGCGAACTGTCTCACCTCATTTCCACATTTTCGACTGTCGACACCACACTTCATGATAGGAATGGGGAAGCAAGTTCAGATTGAGCTTCACAAAGGGACATTCAAGCACCGTAGCTGTATTGAAAATGGAGGCTAGGTAGCGACTTTGAGGCGTGTTCGTCAGCCTTTCGTCCGCGAAGAGGCTGAATCACCGTCTTGCCGGACGGTAACGCTCGTCAGCCGAGGTGTCTTCCGAAGGCCGTTTCTTGTACGCTCTATCGATAGTTCTCTCCCTCGTCATTCGAGTCGTCCGAAGCCGGGACTTGGCAGTAGGTGGAAGCTTCGAGGCGTCCTCTTTGATCGTGTGAAGGTTGTTGGCAGGAGTCTTGATGCTAAGCTTTGAAAACGCAGCACCAAAGTCGTTGGGGTCGATTTCCTTTCCGGCACCGGAGAGCTTCAAGCCCGCATCCTTGGCAGCTTCCTCGAAGAAGGCTCCTCTTGGGGCTGCGCTGACGCTCGTCGTGACGGCGACGAACGCCACCAGGCAGGGGAGCAAGAATGAAGTCTTCATGACGCTTGAGGTTCGAGTGAAAGTTGATCGAGCGTTGGTCCGAGGTTGTTCGTCTGGGACGGAAATGAAGTCGAGATGGTACTGGAAGATCTGAGAGGATTCAAAGGCGACGAAAGAGGACAGACTTTATATATCATTGCTGATCCGCTACCGTCCTCGTTCGAGCAGGTGACACGGTGCAAGACAAGCAGATTCAAGAGAAAAATTCTGCCCATGCCTTCCGTCGCCGAACAAGTCACCGGCATGCTTTCGAGTAATCACAAGAAAGGGTACATGAAGGCTCCAAACAACCGATGGGGACAATGATGCAGACGTGATTGGCAAGAAGATCGTGGCGTTGCGATCCAGCATTTCCTACCGAACCCATCCCGAACCGGCACCGTCACCAGGTGGGACTGTCTTTGACATTAACGCATGGCTTGGTCGCGGGCGCCTTCGTGGGTGTATCATAGCACTTGCATAACCATTGTGGTGCTGCAAACAAACAGGGGGGCACTCTGCGTTGGTGGGCGTTTTGGGCCTTGATCGTCTCATGTCTGCACTGCCTGATGTCGACATTGATCATGCCCGAAAAAAAGCTACAATGTTAGAGCGTGATCAAACTCTGAAACTCACGTGCGAAAAATTGCCGGCAAGCACGGATGTCCAGCTGAGCCGTCATGAGCGCGTGTCGGGCGAGAAGATTTGCGCAGGTCGAGACCACGAGCTGGAAATGTCGGCAAGGAAGCTTGCGTTGGTTGACAGATGCACAAAGTAGCTTAATGCACCCCGCACTTGCTCGAATCCCCACACGACACTCTGCCCCGCTGTTGTGCCACCTTACCTTGGCTTGTCAGCGCGCTCGGAGCCTGAACGCCGCTGGTTGTCATGATCGCATGACAGCAGTGTGTTGTGCGCATGCCTCTGTCCAGTGTTCACCGGGTGTTGCAGCGACAAACTAGGATTGACTCACTGATGGCTCTTAGACTTGCACTTGCGTTGTCTTCTGATGAAGTTTGCGCTTGAGCCCCTACGTTGAGAATCTCAAGAGTATAAAGACCTCAACTTGACCCCACTCGCCTCGACACGTCCTCCCTCAGGCTCAACCCTGCTCCCCCTCCTTTCTCCTCTAGCAGTCTGTTCACCACAGTTGCTGCCACCGTTCTCCCAATATGACAGCAACACTCCACACCAGCACAGCCGAGAGCTCTATCGTCGGCACCGTCATCAAGACCATCTGGACGCCGCTCTCGGGTTTGCCCTTCCTGCTGCAGCTCTTTGTCGCCACATCTGCATTCCTTTCAGCATGGATGATCTACAATCTCGCACTCTCTCCGCTTTCTCGCTATCCCGGTCCCCTCTCTGCGCGCCTCGGCATCCCCTTTTGGCGATTCTGGCATGCTCTTCAGGGCGACTATGCTCCGGCCCTGTACATTCTTCACAAGCAACACGGCGACGTCGTCCGTGCCGGCCCAAGGCATCTCTCGTTCGCAGATCCTTCTGCCATGAACTCGATCTACAGCCTGTCCGACGGCACTTCGAGCAAGTTTCGCAAGTCGGACTTCTACAGGTCGTTCCAAGTGTTCAAGGCGCATCCTTCGATCTTTAGCGAGCGTGACCCTCATCAGCACAGCAAGCGCCGCAGAGCCGTAGCAAGCGCGTACAGCATGAACAGCCTGGTCAAGCTCGAAGAGTATGTCGAGGACGTGTCGGAGCTGCTGCTCAAGCGGCTGGACGAGCTGGTGGAGACGCAGGCGGTCACCCAAGGTCAGGGCGGCACAAAGACCAAGGCGATCCAGCTCGATCCGTGGTTCCACTTCTTTGCCATGGATGTGGTTGGCGAGCTGGCGTTCGGCCAGTCGTTTAATCTATTGCACAGGGGTAAGGACGACGAGAGGTTCTTGACCGGCGTGCTAAATCTTTCGCAGTGGGGCGCAGTGGCTGGATGCCTGCCGCTGCTTTCGAGCTGGATCCTGTGGCTGTTCCCTCGACTCACTGGACAACCAGGTGGAAGCGTGATCGGAGATAAGACGACTTCGCGGATCCAGACCCGATATGCCGAGGTGCAAGACAACGGCGGCATGCCCTCGCGACCCGACATGCTGACCAAGTTCATGGAGGCCAGAGATCCCGACACCAAGGAAAAGTACTCGATGAAGCAGGTGCTCTTCTCTGCATCCTCTGTCATGTCTGCTGGCTCAGACACAACCGCTACGTCTCTCACCATCTTCTTCGGCTACCTCCTCGACCATCCCGCTTGCTATGCCAAGCTGCGCGCAGAGATCAACGAAGCCCTCGAGTCCGGTAACCTGTCTTCGCCCGTCAAGTACGCCAAAGGCTCCCAGCTCGAGTACCTGCAGGCGTGCATCAAGGAGGCTCTGCGTCTCTCGCCGCCCATCTCGATGGATCTTCCACGCTACGTGCCGCAGGGAGGGGCTGTCATCGGCAAGAATCCGCACCCGATCCCAGCTGGTACCACCGTGGGAATCAGCCCGTACGTCCTGCATCGCAACACGAAAGCGTTCGGCACCGATGCTGAGATGTACAGGCCCGAGCGATGGCTCGAGGGTGGCGAAGAGGGCAGAAAGGCGCTGGAGCGCTTCAACATGACGTTTGGCGGCGGATCGCGCGCGTGCATCGGCAAGAACATCAGCTTGATGGAGCTGTCCAAGATCATCCCTGAGATCCTGCTCAGATACGACATCAAGAAACCGGCTGTCAGCCCCAATACAACACCAGTCACAACCGCCAGCAAACAAGCAGGGGCAAAGCAGCCGTTCTTCCAAGGAAGGAGCGCATGGTTCCTCGAAGCACACGTAAGTTGCTCTCTGTTCACACACAACGCCTTGGCGACGAGCTTCAAGCACTGACACCGCCCTTTTTCGTTCGCTCGCCTCCATCACAGAATCTCTATGTCGAGCTCGTACCTCTCAACGCCATCTGATCTTGGCCCCAAACTCTACACTCTCAATTGAATTGCTCGACACTGTCAGACGAAACTTGCACGCCAATGACTGAGCAGATGATGCGGTATGGAAGACGATTTCATTGCAATAAGCAGCGAAACAAGACTTCTAAGGAGTGGTGTTAAAAGGAGGAACGACAGGAGAGTGAAAGGAAAGGGGTGAAGGTGTGTGTGGACTAAACAGAAAGGATAGTGAGAAAGGAGAAAACGAGAGTGAAAAAGAGAGAAAAGGAGCTTGGACTGCATCGAACAGACGAACTGATCAGATCTGTCCATCTATGATCTTGAGCATTAGAGGGTGGGAACAAGGGAAGTTAGAGAAGCGGCACTGCAACTTTGGAGGGCAAGATCCAAAAGCGCATGTGCGAAAGATGGCCAGTTTGGTCGAGCACGAATCCCACTGCGCCTTGCTCGTTGTTGATCTTGAGTATGCCGTGTTGATAAAGCTCCGACCACTTGTCCGACATGGTTGCCGCGGAAGGGGGAATGGACTTCTTCGCGTTGGTCCAGGACTTGATCTTGGACCGCCCCTTCGGAAATCCAGGTCCGTACGTGAGCAGCTGAGCGTCCTCGCCGTGCATGTTGCGATAGCGGATCATCGCGCCGAACCCGTCCAGAACATCGTCTTCCCCTGTCTTCGATACCGGCAAACTTCTGTCGCTGGGCACGTACGTTGCAGTGTCGATGATGTTGTCATGTAAGGAACTTCCAAGGATCCAATAGCCAGGATAGTTGCGCCGAGCTTGCTGAACTTTTGCTAGCACGTGCTCATCCATCTCTGGGAAGAACATTGGCACGCCTTTGTAATGGAGGTCTCCGGCAAAGTACCTTCGCCTCTTCACATCTGACAGCGGAACGACACTGTTGTCGTCAGAATGCCTTCGGTTGATGAAGTACTCGATGGTTCGTGTCGGATGCTTTGGAGCGGTGCGCTTGTGAAACCTTGTTTCTTCTTTAACCGGCTCAACCACCTTTCCGAGTCTGTCGAGCGCGTACACGGCGTTCTTGTACCCATCCTGGATGACGAGCATGTTGTTTCGATGAAGCATCTCCCATTTTTGCGAGCTTGGATCGGCAGCTGTAAGTCTCGGGGCAGAGCTTAGCACTTCTCGCATGTTGGGAGTCTTGTACATGCTCCACCTGCTCGGATTCTGACGTTTGGGGAACGAGGGACCATACTTGAGCAGCATTGTGTCGCGATTGTGTCTCTGGCCATACTGCTCCACGGCTGCGACATGTTCAAGTGCCTTGTCGTCCCCGTACCCCCGAGCTCCTCCAACCATGAACGCTGCAGTCCTGGTGCCAAGATCGTTGTGAAGACTTCCAACAATCCAGTAACCAGGATAGTCGACTTTGGCTCGCCACGTCTTGATCGGCACCTTGGGATCACTTGCCGGAAAGAAGACCGGATTGCCGTTGAAATGGATATCGC